GGGCCATCTCAGGCCGGGGGGCAGCAGGACCCACATTTGCTTCAGCCAGACCCCCTCAGATGCTACCTGCTGCTGTGGCCTCCCCTGCGGTGCTGCTCCCACCCCTCCTGCCGTCCCTCCTCTCTTCTTGCATCTCTCTCTTCTCCCCCTAGGCTGCCCTCGGAAGCTTCTGCCCACCTGCCCTAACTCCTGCCTGTACGCTCCCACTGTGCCCTCTTTCTGTCCTGGGAGGAGGCCAAGGGGGAGCACAGCTTGTCAGGCTAAGTCAGCCCTGGAAATCTCTACTTATGCACCCCCAGTCCCTCAGCAGAACCACCCACCCCAGGGCCCAACCCCCTCACACAGCCCGGGGAAGCTGGTGCCTCTTCTTGCCAGGGCCGAGGGGATATCACAGGGCCTCTGTGCCAAGGAGAGTGGTCCGCAACTGGTGTTTTCCTCTGGTTCCCCTTCCCGTAGGTGAGGCCAAGCCTTTGAGGCCATATAGGGGCTAAAACAGAACAGACCAACCACTCTAGGTATGAATGTCCTCTCAGCTACATGCTCACTGTGTTACCTTGGGCAAGTTACTTTGCCTCTCTGAGCCTCAGTTTCCAGTTCTCTAAAATAGGGCCAAAGATGCCCATCCAGTCAGTGTTCTTGCCAGGTGTAAGAGACTAAGAGAGGGAAAGGATCCAGTCAAGTATCTGACACAAGTAGAATCAAAGTAAACTTTAGAGTCTTCCCACCTAACTTTCCCTAACAGCCAAGCCAGAAGCTTGGAGGAGTTCCAGCAATGGGCAGGAATCTGATGCTTTGTTCCCTACATATGGCACGAGGCTCCCATGCTTCCTGCTAGCTGCTGGGCTCCCTGACCCAGGTAGGAAGGAGAGGTGGTCTCTTCCCCCAGGCTGGTGATTTGGGCCTAGTTGGCCCAGAGGCTTCCACTCACCACACAAGTGGGGCTGCCCTCAACCAGTGCCCAGAGCAGCTAAACCTTGGGTGAGGGCGCCCTTCAGCTTTAGCCCAAGGGAACTCGGAGACCCCAACCTAAATCCTTCAAGGTGTTGGGGCATCCATACCTTTGTCAAGTGCTGCTCCTTTCCTGCCTGTGGTCACCTGTCTGCAGCACAGCCTTGGGCGAAGGGAGCAGCAGAAACAGTCTGCGCTCTAGGGCAACAGAGGGTTGCAGAATCTTTGCCTTCGGGAATGTCCAGCCTCACCGACAGATGAGGAGGTATCACTGGGTAAAGAGATTAGAGACAGACTTCAGAGCCGCCTCAGGCAAGGGTAGAGGTGTCACAGGGTGGTCCCCACACTAGCCTACGGCACTGAGGGACAGAGCTATGGCCGGGAGGTCCGGGAGGCCCCTGGAGGAGACTGGGGCCTCTGTGGCCTGTGGGGCCTTAGACGCGTCTGAACATATATTCTCCACATCAGCCCTTGGAGCCCAGGCCAGAGCAAGAGGAAGGATGGGTTCATGGCCACACCAGTAGCGTAAGAGCCAGGTCACGAGCCAGGTCCTGGAGGGGTTTGGACCCAGAATGCACATCCTGGGGTGGGGAGTGGACAGCAAGTGCCGAACTGGAGGGAGAAAAGCACATTGCCCGTGGGACGCTGAGGGGAGCAGCCCAGCTGTTGCAGAGTTAGGGGCTGGCTGGTAAAGGGAAGCCCCGCCCAACCTTGCCCTCCAGCTGCACTTGGGATGCATGGTGCCCGTGTTGATTAAGTGCCTTCTGCATACCAGGCTCGGGCAGTGTCTTTCGGTACCTAGGTTTCTGGACCTTAAAAACGCAGGACCGCAGGGATCATCAAGTTCGCCCTCCTTCCCTGTTCCCTGTTCCATTTTACACACGGGCAACCCAAGAGGCCCAGCCCGGCTCCACAGGCAGTGGGAGGGAGCTCCCTGTGTCTTGGTCTCCGCTCGTCCAGTCCCCCCAGGCTGTGGAAATGGCCCAGAGCTCAGCTCGCCTTTCACCTCCAAGGCCCGAGCTCCTCGGGGCTTCTGAGAGGAAACAGCTTGCTGCCCCACCCACCCTTCCAGCCCCCGGCAAGCAGGGCTCCTGGCCCTGGGCGTGGCTGTGTGCCCAGGTCCGTGCCCCTGGGCCTCACTGGGCCTCAGTTTCTCCATTGTAACTTGAGAGTGAGGTTGGGTCATCTGACTGCTCTGTCCTTTCGTGGTGTCGTCTTGAATTGGGGCTGGAGGCGGGGAGCTGGCATGGCCATGAGGAACAGGCCAGAGCACCCTGGATGGGGAAAGGAGAGGTGGTGAGCGGGGAGCTCTGGCCTCCCTTCTCTGACCTGCAGCTGCCTGTGTGACCCTCCTGAGGGGCAAAGCTGTGACCCTCCTGAGGCGGTGGGGGATGTCAAGCCACCAGGGAGACAACAGCCTGCTCAGAGGCTTCTGGCTGGCCAGAGATACCCACGGGGCCGCCCGTGGGCAGGGATGTGTGGCCACAAGACGGGGGAGAGGTTTTTCAGGGTGTAATTAGTGCACTTTCTGGCACCCACCAAACTTCCCCTTCCTCTTGACAGTTTGCTGCCAAAACAGCCCTGATTCCTGTGGACTTGCTTAAATCTTATCCAGAGGTTGGGGGAGGGGGGCAGAAAAGAGAGAGAGAAAAGAAAAGGAAAAAGAAAGAAAAGAAAAAAATAAGAGGGTTGTTATTTGTGAAATTGCATTTCCCAGCCATGAGGGTGAGTCACACCATTTGGAGCTTCAAGTTTCTTGTTTGGATGAACTTTTCTCTGGGAGGCTGGGGCGATTCTGCCCTCCCTCAGGCCAGTTTGAGTGGAGAGAGGCGTAGAGTCAAGCTAGGGAGAGACCTTGATGGTTGAAAAGTCCAGGTGCTCCCAAGGTCAGGTAGAGCTGGGCGGGTTGTACCTGAGCTGCCCCGGTGGAGCTTTAAAAGGCAGATTTGGGCTCTGGGGAAGGGGGAGTGGGGAGTTAGTGTTTAATGAGGACAGAGTTTCCAGTTTGGAATGATGAAAAATTTCTGGAGACAGATGGTGGTGATGATTGTACAATAAATAATATGAATATACTTAATACCACTGAACTGCACACTTAAAAATTGTTAAAAAAGCCTAGGTTTTATGTAATGTGTATTTTACCATGATAAAACAATGCAGATTCTGGGTCCTCAAGTCCCAGGTGGCTGCTTTGATAGGTCTGAGATGGGGCCCAGAAAGCTTATTTGTTAAAACTTTCCCAGGTCATTCAGTACAAGTTTGGACACAGATCATTTAATCTGTGAAATGGGGACAATGACCCATAGGGCTATGGTAAGCATCAGCTATCTTCCAGTGCTTGGGACACAGTAAGTACTCAATGTACATTACTGTCATCTTCTAATCCCATTTCCTTTGGGACCCTCCTTCCACCTCTTAAGGTTGTCCAGCCTTGGCTCACATACCTCCAGGGATGGGGGACCTTCTGCCTCTCAGGATGGACCACTCCCACCTGGAGCCATCTGAGACCTGGAGAGTCACCCTCAGATTGGATGCACGTTCGTGTGGGATCTTCCCTGGGCCCTGGGGCTCACGGCAGCCCTGGGCAGTGGTAGAGCAGAGATGGTCATTAGGAGACTTTGAGTTCCATGCCCAGTCACTCTAGGCCAGCTCTGCATTGGGCCTGGGCTGCCCTGGATGTGGTGTCTCTGTCTCTCCTTCCAGACTCCAGACTCTGGTCCAAACCTACATGAGAGGGACCAGAGGCCCAGAGGGGTAAAAGGCTGGGCCAGGGTGACATAGCAGGGTGTCCAGGGAGCCAAGAAGAGTGAGGGCTATGTGCTCTAGGGAGGAGTGCCAGACCTCCAGAGTTGGGAGGCTAAGGCATATGAGGGATGGGATCTGTCCTGTTTGGAGGAGGAGTGTCTGATCCCCTGGGGCCAGCTCTCAGCTCACCTCCCCTCTTCCCACACTGAGGGATGCAGAAAGGACTGTCCCCGCCTTAGACCACTGTTTTCCCAACGTTGTAAGTGAGCCTGAGGCATCTTCCTCTCAGGGGCCCTCCTCCCTATGATCTGGGGAACCCCAGGAAGAAGGCTGCATCTCTCCATGAGACCCAAGGCTCCCCAAGGTCTGTAGTTCCTTGGGCACCTGAGCTGGGGACAGGGATGCCCAAGCCCCATGCCCAGATTTGTCATTGGTCTCCAGGGAAGCTGCCTCTTTGCAGCCTTGTCCCGGCCTCAGGAGAGGGGGCCTATGGCCATTCCCTGCCAGCCTCACCACAGGCCCCACCTTTGCTAAATTCCAGTGTGCCTGGCCGCCCAGAGCCCGTGACTCCTATAAATAGAGGCTGTATGCAGCAGGAGGGGGCCTGGGCCGCGTCTGCTTTGAAGCCAGGCGAGACATCTGGTTCCTGTCAACTGGAGGTGGGAGAGGTGAGAGAGGTGGGCCGCTTCCTCCCCGGGCTTCCCGAGAGCTGGCGTGGGCCCGGCTGTGGGCTCCTGGAACACGGTCCGCACAGCCCTCGGGCCGCAGAGGCCAGGCAAAGTCCTGGACTGCAGTCTTCTCTTCTGTACGGTGGAGACAGTGCTGCGAGCCGCTGTCTAAAGTCACTCCACCAGTACGTGGCAGAGCCCCGGGTCTAACAGCAAGACATGCTGCTTTCTGCTGCGCTTCTCACCCCCTGGCGATGTGTGAAGAACTAGTGATCATCGTCACTGTCATCACCATCCTCACCGTCGTCATCGTCCCCGGATACTGAGCGGCTCCTATGTGCCAGGCAGGAAATAAAGTGCTTTACATGAGAGGCTTCGAGTTAGTCTCATAGAAACCCTTGGAGGTAGCTTTCATTAATCTTGTTTGCCAGATGGGGTCAACGGCTTGTCCGTGGACACACAACTAGAGTTAGGATTTGACTGCAGGCTCCAGGAAGCCAGAGCCCGCAGATGGCTGAAGGATCAGTATGACTGTGTGTGTGTGTGTGTGGGCGCGTGTGGCCTATGGAACTTCCCGAGAGGCCACAGTGGCACAAGTGGCCAGGCCTCGGGAGCCCTCACAGCCTCTGTCCCCCGCAGGCCCTGAGCAGCAGCGTGTACAAGAGCGCCTCGCCCTACGGCTCCCTCAACAACATCGCCGACGGCCTCAGCTCCCTCACCGAGCACTTCTCGGACCTGACCCTCACCTCGGAGACCCGCAAGCCCAGCAAGCGGCCCCCGCCCAACTACCTGTGCCACCTGTGCTTCAACAAAGGACACTACATCAAGGACTGCCCCCAGGTAAGGCAGCCTGGCCCCGACTCACCTGTGCACTGCCCTCCATGGGTGAAGCAGGTGGAGCAGCTGCCTAGGGTCCATTCCATGAGCGCCTGGCCCTGTGGCGGCTGGTCTCCACCTCTTTGTCCCCTCTGGTTTTTCGGAGGCGAGGCTGGCCGGTGTGGATGGGACAGGGCTCACTGGGACTGCACTGGGCCCCCCAGCAGTCTGGATGGGGGACCCCAGAATGAGGCTCTGGGCCTTTGAGTCCCCAGTAGTCTTCCTGCCAAGGTGGGTCCTGTTACAGTGGGGCAGGAGGGGATCGGCAGCCTCCTCACAGCTCTCCTGAGAGCCCATCACCTCCCACTCACCGGGAAGGAATGCAGGCTCTGGGCCAGGAATCCAGATGTGCTGCACCCCCTCCCCCAGACCCCGCTTGGCCTCTTCTGCAGCAGTGCTTCCTCCTCCGCCTGCTGCCCGTGAGGGAGAGGGGATGGCCCTGCCCCTGACCTGTGCCCTCAGGATAGGTCTGAGAGAAAGCCTCAGGCACCACAGGGCTGGGCATCGCTCCCTTGGGGTGTGAGAGGGACCAGGAGAAGGTCGGGAGTGGTCCTTGTCTCTCACCCAATGCTTCGCCGTGACAAGGCGGGGCTCCCAGGGCAAACTCCACTCACCAGAGGATACCTGGCTCTCTGACAGACATGGCTTTAGAATTCTGGGGAGACATGTTAACAGTTATTTTCAATACGGTATGAGATTATCAATGTATTTTTTTCCTTTTTCCCCCCATACTTTCCACTGTTTTTATAAGGTGGTACCACTTTCTTTTTAATCCATGTAATGGAAATGGAATCCTGGAAACTCAGAAAATCCACGTGGCCTTGCTCTCCAGATGTTGGCAGCCGAGGGCGTGGCTGGGTAGGGCTGGGTCCCTCCAGGACCAGCGGGAGGCCGGTGCACTTGTCAATCACCACTCTTCTCAGAAACGACCATGCCGTGCTTAAGGTCCTTGCTACTTCATGTGTGGCCAGGCGCAGCCGCACCGGTGTCGTCCCAGAGCTTGTTAGAAATGCAGAATGTCAGGCCCAACCCAGAGCTGCGTTCTAGTCAGAGCCTGGTGATTCAGCCAGTGATCTCAGCCTCCCCACTCCTGGCCAAGAGAGTCCCACCCCAGACCCTGCAGAGTGGGAGCTGACCCACTGATGACGGCCCGCCCCTGGGCCCTGTCTAGCCTCAAAATATGCAGTAAGCAAAGGGTCCTTGGCATGAGGAGATGCTGGCAGAGGGTGAAGCCTCTACACCCCAGGGGTTCTTGGATTGGGATGAGGGGCCAACAGGTAGCTAAGGATCTGGTTGATCTTCAAGGATGTGCCCATGGCAGCCCCTGTGCCTTCCCTACTGAGCCCCCAGCACTGGGGCTGCTGGCTCTCAGTCACTCACAGCAACACCTCAAAACCTTCTGTACATTGTCCCCTGCCTGTGGCCTGGGAAGAGGGCAGAGCAGGACCCTGCCCCATTTAAGGAGGAGACAGGTGCTGTGCTGAGCACTCTTCAAGCATTTCACTCAGCGTTCACATCTGCCCGGTGTGCCAAGTGCTTTTATTAGCCTCATATTACGGGACGCCTTGTGTGAGTGAAGGTCTCACACAGAACCATCAAGCCAGTCAGTAGAGGAGTGAGGAGTTTAACTTGACGGGCAGGTGGTAGTTGGACACCAGTAGGGGCTCTTGGGCCCCTGAAGAGGTGTGCTTGTGCTGAGCTGGCAATCTGGGAAAGCTTCCAGGAGGAGGGGGGCTTGAGTGGGGCGGGCAGGTTGATGGGTCAAGGGAGACCAGTATCCAAAGGCAACAGATGATGAATCAGAGGCAGAGGGATGGCAAAGGTGTGTGTGCGTGTGTGCGCACGTGATGCCCTCTCCCAGATGGGACCAGCGCTCTTCCGACTGTGGGCACAGAGGGCACTAACCTTGACCCTTCCTTGATGTGGGTCACACAGCATCCTCGCTTATCTTGTGCAGGGCTTTTAACTCTGGCAGAAGTAGGAGTAATAGCCCCATTTTCCAGTTGGAGAAACAGAGTCTCACAGAGGTCATGTGCTGAGGAGAGGGCAGAACATGCTTTAGAACCCTGGTCTTTTGGGATCTCGATGCTCTTTGCTTCCTTGAGTATCCGTGCTGCTCCAGGCTGAGACTCCTATGGCCTGTGGAGCCTCAATTTCTCCCTTGAGCTGTTGGAAGCCTTTTTCCAGCCCCATCCCAAAAGTGATTTTATCCGAGGTTCTCCTTCCCCCTCTTCACAAGGTTCACTGTCTAGTGAGAACGCTAACGCAGAGGATGGCTGTGAGGACTCAAAGAAATAATACAGGAGAAGTGCTTAGCACCATGCCTGGCACACAGTAAGCGCTCAGTAACTGTTGGCTATAATTATTTTTGTCTCCCTTTCATCACAATGCAGAGTGCACCTACCCAGCAAGATGCTAAGTATTTTGGCAGGCCGGAATATAATTGGATGCTCCTCATCCTTCACCTGACCACAAGCCCCAGGAGCAGGTGCTTGGCTAAATTCATCTCTGCGCCTTTATGCCACCCAGATACCCGACAGTGTAGCAGGTGCTCAGTACAAGTCTTCCTGAAGGAAGAAATGAGTGGAAACCTTTGTTTCAAATGAACGATTGTTTAAGAACTTGGCATATATCACATTTAAAAGCGGAATCCTTGTTTTTGGTAACGGCTTCAATGAGATATAATTCACATACCATATAATTCAACCATTTGCAATATACAAGTCAATGATTTTTAGTATTTTCACAGAGCTGTGCAACCATCTCCATGATCAAAGAACATTTTTGTCACCTCAAAAAGAAACCTCAGACTCTTTAGCTACCATCCTCTGATTCCCCCACCCCCAACAACCAGTAATTGACCTTCGGTCTCTATGGATTTGCCTATCCTGGACATTTCATATAAATGGAGTCATGTAATATGTGGTCTTTTGTGACAGAGTCTTTCACTCAGTGCACTGTTTTCAAAGTTCATCCATGTAGTAGCCTTTATCAGTTTCACGATTTGGAAAGTGTCCCATCCTGTTTTATTTCTTGGAAGAATTAATGTTAATTCTTTAAATGGTTGGTAGAATTCAGCTGTGAATCCACCTGAACTTGGGCTTTCTTTTGTCAGGAGATTTAAAAAAAAAAATTCTAATTCAGCCTCTTTATTTGCTTTGGGTCGGTTTGGATTTTCCGTTTCTTCTTGAGTCAGTTTCTGTAGTTGGTGTATTTCTAGAATTTGTGCCTTTCACCTAGGTTACCTAATTTATTGGCATCCAGTTGTTCATAATATCCTCTTATAATTCTTCTTATGTTCGGAAGGTCGGTAATAATGTCCCCTTCTTTCATTTCTGATTCTTGTCATTTGAGTTTTTGCTTTTTTTCTTGGTCATTCTAGCGAAAAGTTTGTCCATTTTGTTGAACTTTTCTAAGAACCAGCCTTTGGTTTAGTCGGTATCCTCTATTGTTTTTCTATTCTCTATTTCATTACTTTCTACTTTAATCATTTTTAAAATTATGGTAAAATACACATAATATTAAATTTACTATCTTACCCATTTTGAAGTGTGCATAGTTCAGTGGCGTTAAGTACATTCACGCTGTTGTGCAACCACCACCACCATCCATCCTCGGAACTCTTTTTATCTTGCAAAACTGAAACTCTGTACCCATTAAGCAATAATTCCCTCTCCTTCCCTCCCCCAGCCCCTGGCAAGCATTGTTTTACTTTGTCTCTAAGGATTTCACTACTCTCGGTACCTCATAAATGGAATCATACAGTATTTGTCCTTTTGTGACTGGCTTATTACACTTAGCTTAATGTCCTCAAGGTTCACTTATGTTGTAGCTCTTTCCTTTTTTAAGGCTGAATAATATTCCAGCATGTGTGCATGCATGTGTTTGTGTGTGTGTGTACTACATTTTGTTTATCCATTTATTCATCCACGGACTACTGGATTTTTACCATCTTTTGGCTTTGTTAATAATGCTGCTGTGAACATGGGTGTACAAATAGCTCTTTGAGTCCTTGCTTTTAATTCTTCATTATAATCTTTATTATTTCCTTTCTTCAGCTCGCTGTATGTTTAGTTTGCTCTTTTTCTAGTTTCTTGAGGTGGAAGTTTAGGATACTGACTGTACATCTTTCTTTTTTATTAATGTAGATGTTTACAGCCATCAGTTTCCCCCTGAACTGCATTCTGTACGTTTCGGTGTGTTATATCTCCATTTTTGTTTATCACAGGGTATTTTCTGATTTCCCTCGTGATTTCTTCTTGGCCCCACCGGTTACTCAGGAGTGTGTTGTTTAATATCCACATATTTATGAGTTTCCCAAATATCTTTTTTAATGATTTCTAACTTTATTTCACTGTGGTTCGGAAACATACTTTGTATTATTTCAGTGCTTCTAAATCTGTTGTGGTTTGTTCCCTCGCCTAGCATTTGGGCTATCCTGGAGAATGGTCCGTGTGCACTTGAGAAGAATGTATTCTGCTGCTGTTGGGTGGAGTATAGATTTATAATGTTGTTTATGTCTTCTGTCTCCTTGTTGGTGTCCTGCCCAGCTCTATCCATTATTGTAAACAGGAGTATTGAAATCTCTGTTACTGTTAACTGGTGCTTTTTTTCAGTTCTGTCAGTTTTTGCTGCGTGTATTTTGGTGTTCTGATATTAGGTACATCTATGTTTATAATTGTATTTTCCTGATGGATTAATCCTTTTATCATTGTAAAAGTCCCTCTTTATCTCTGGTGACACTTTTTGGTTTAAAGTCTGTTTTGTCTGGTGTTAGTGTAGCCTGCTTTCTTATGGTTGCTGTTTCCATGGTACAGCTTTTCCCGTCCTACTGCTTTCTACTTTCCATCCTCCTATTTTTAATCTGTTCATAATCTTTGGCTCTAAAGTATGTCTCCTGTAGACAGCATTATACTTAGATGCTGGTTTACTGTTTAGCCAACCTGGCAATACCTGCTTGTTGT